GTCTCATCATTCTTGTGAAGATGATGAGGATGATGATAAGGAGGATGAGGATGATTATTCTTGTTGTGTGATCGGTAATGATCGGACATTGTTCGATTATTATTCGGGGTTATCAGTCGATATCGGGCAGTTTTTGGTTCGATCTGATGAAGATTTCTCCGTCTTCTTCCTCCATCGTTTTGTTTTGCGATCGATCACAAAGTTCTGATAATCGATAAATATAAACAACGTGAATTTCCAGCAAATCGTTCTCTCTGCTGATCGGTGAGTCCCGTTAGTGGTGCGATTGATGGCGGAGTCGCCGTGACGTCACATCAGATAAATATTTTGTTTTTGTAATTTCGATCATTTTCTTTCTTTTGATGAAATGTCGGTGAGATTGAAGTCCCGTCTGTGGCAGATTTCACACCGATGGTGGAGCCGATATTATATAAAAGAGGGATTTATCATTTCCCCCCATTTATAATACATGGGACGGATAAGAAGCGCTCTGAGACCCGAGGGTCTGAACGCGGAGGTGAGAGGTGCGCTCCTGCGTTTCCTGACACTTTGTATCATTATTACGTGTTTTGCACTCTGACAGTTTATTAGAAGATTTCATGTGGAAAATATGATATAAATTCTCTTTTCTCTCACATTAGTATTGTACTCGCTGAGTGATAGCGCCGCTTCACATATTTGAATGATATTATTGGGGACGGCGGTATTGGGGACGGCGGTATTGGGGACGGCGGTATTGGGGACGGCGGTATTGGGGACGGCGGTATTGGGGACGGCGGCATTGGGGACGGCGGTATTGGGGACATCGTGTAGATGGATGGATGGGGGGTAGATGGATGGGGGGTAGATGGATGGATGGGGTAGATGGATGGGGGTAGATGGATGGGGGTAGATGGATGGATGGGGGTAGATAGATGGATGGAGGGATGGATGGATGGGGGGTAGATGGATGGATGGGGTAGATGGATGGATGGGGTAGATGGATGGGGGTAGATGGATGGATGGGGGTAGATGGATGGAGGATTTGGGGTTGGTCTCCTCCTTGGCTGGAGAAACAGATGATTTCTTCTATGTATAGTGAATGTTGGAGTCATGGCGTCTCCCTGAGATCCCCCGATGTGTAGTGAATGGAGATCCCCGATGTGCAGTGAATGGGGAGATCTCCCGATGTGCAGTGAATGGAGATCCCCAATGTGCAGTGAATGGGGAGATCTCCCGATGTGCAGTGAATGGAGAGAACTCCCGATGTGCAGTGAAAGGGGAGATCTCCCGATGTGCAGTGAATGGGGAGATCTCCCGATGTGCAGTGAATGGGGAGATCTCCCGATGTGCAGTGAATGGAGATCCCCCGATGTGCAGTGAATGGGGAGATCCCCCGATGTGCAGTGAATGGGGAGATCTCCTGTGTGTGGGGAGATCTGGGTCGGGATTGGTCGTTGGAGCCGCCAGTAATTGATTCGTTATTTGCAAACATGTATTAGAGACTTAAAGAGCTTTTAATTGTGGCGGGGAGGGCGATGAGACGCTGGGAGTTTTGCTGCACACATGAGGTGATTAAGGGCTCTCAGTAGGCATCAGTCACGCCGCATTAGCCGGGAGAAAGCTAATTACCCCAATTAGGGGCTGATTTATAATTAATGGGAGGGCCGCGCTGATAATTGGATGTTAATGGATAACAGTTTTTTGTGTGTCTGGCAATCATCTCTCTTCCCTGGCGGCACAATGAATGACAATGGAGTGTGATCGGG